TCAAAAACAGTTCTCTCAGGATTGCTCCTAGTCTCACATGATGGTGAGCAAAGGAAGTGGAGGACCAAGCAATTAATGCCATGGCTGGAGAACTGATGTGGGAAAGATGGTCTCAATACCTGAGGTGCTGGGACTAGTTCTGGGTAGGTGCTATCTGTACAAGGAAGACAAATTGCATTTTAGCTGGACCAGGACTAAAACTCTAACAGGGCGATTTGTTGTTGCTCATCGAGAGAGTTGACAATAAATTGACAGGGAGTGCGATGTCAGATTGGAGGTAAGCTTAACTGATAACATGAAATAAAAGGTCAGAAGTGAAATTAAAGGACAGATGAAGCAATGTCAAGACTCAATGAGATCACAATGCAGAATAATGTTAAGAAAGTAAAATTAAAGACATTTGAATTGAATATACGCAGCATTCATTAACAGGTTGTTGATCTGAAGACATAAATTGAAGTAATTTATTTAATTGCTGTTATCAAGACATGGTACCGGATAACTAAGAAACAAAAAAAGTTGCTGGAAAAGCTCAGCAGGTCTGGTAGCATCTATGGAGGAGAAAACAGAGTTAACGTTTCGGGTCCGGTGACCTTTCCTCAGAACTGATGGTGGCTGGGAAAACGTCAGTTTATATGCAGAAAATAGGGAGGTGGGTGGGGTAGGGAGTAAACGATAAGATAGAGCCCAAAGAGAGAGAAAGACAGTTGGACAGACAAAGGAGTTGCTAACGATCAGGGTGGGAGGATGAATAGTTGTTAATGGGGACTGTTAGTGACTAACAACAGGGGGTGTGTAGTGGCAGGCTATGTGGTAACAAGGCCTGGTGTATGGGGTGTGGGGCTGGGACATTGGAGAGTTTAGGCCCTAAAATTATTGAACTCAATATTGAGTCTGGAGGGCTGTAGGGTCCCCAAGTGGAAAATGATGTGTTGTTCCTCCAGCTTGCGTTGGGCTTCACTGGAAAGTGGGATGGAGTCTTTACAGGAAGTGGGGTGTGAGGATGTCTCATCCAGGTAGCTGTGGGAGTCGGTGGGTTTGTAATGGATATTAGTGGCCAACATCTCTGTCTCCAGCTTGCTACAGTGTTCCAGTGAAGCCCAACGCAAGCTGGAGGAACAACACATCATTTTCCACTTGGGTAAAACTAAACAACAAAAATGCTACGAAGGATGAATTCCTAGAACATACATGACTTGGGGTTAGGAGTAGTGTATTGAAGAACCCATTATGGATTGAACTACTTTATATTTTGCATTATGCAGTGAAAAATAATAATTATTAATCTTGAATTTAAGGTGCCTTAGGGAAATAGTGATTACAATATGATAGAATTTCACATGATGCTTGTATAGGATAGAGTTCATTTTGAAACTAGGGGGCTACATCTGAGCAAGGGAAACTATGACAATTAAAAGACAACTTGACTGTGGTGGAATGGGAAAATACAAAGACCAAAGAACTGAACAGCATAGAAATAGGTCCTTTGAGCCACAAGACTGCACTGACATGTGATGCCTTTCTAAACTAAAAGCCTTTCGATTCCACATAGGTAATATCCCTCTATTTCCTGCCTACTCATATATCTATCAAGATGTCTCTTGAATCTTGCTATCATATTCACTTCCACCACCTGCTCTGGCAGCATGTTCTATATACTTTCTACCCTCTGTAAACAAATTGGCTCTCACATCTCCTTTAAACTTACCCCTTTTTACCTTAAAACTAAGTTGCCTAGTAATTGACATTTTCACCCTGGGAAAAAGACTTTGACTTTCCATTCTGTCCATGCTTCGCATAACTTTGTAAATTTCTATCATGTCGTCCTCACCCCCCACCTCTTCCTCCAATGTTCAAGTGACAAAAAACCAAGTTTGCCCAATCTCCTCCCACAGTTGATATACAGTCCAAACCAAATAGCATTCTAGTAAACCATTTCTGTACCCTCTTCAAAGCTTCCACATCTTTCCGGTAGAGTGGCAACCAAAACTGCACACAATATTCCAAACATGACTGAACTGAAGTTCTGTACAGCTGCGACATGACTTACCAATTTTTATACTCAATGCCATGACCGATGAAGGCAAGCATGCTGTATGCCTTCACCTTACCCACTTGTGTTGCCACTTTCAGCAAATTTTGGACTTGTATGCCTAGATCCTTCTGTATGTTGATGCTATTAAGGGTTCTGCCATTTACTCTATACTTCCCTCCTACATTAGATCTTCTAAAATGCATCACCTCACATTTGTCAAAATTGAACTCCATCTGCAATTTCTTCACTCAAGTCTCCAGCCTATCTGTATCCTGTTGTATTCTCTGGCAATCTTCCTCACTATCTGCAACTCTCCAAATCTCTGAATCATTTGCAAATTTTACTAATCAGACCACCTACATTGTCCTCCAAATTATTTATATACATTCTGTGGAATTCCCTCCCTAATAGCATTGTGGGTCAATCCACAGCAGGTGGACTGCAGCGGTTCAAGAAGGCAGCTCACCACCACCTTCTCAAGAGCAACTAGGGATGGGCAAGAAATGCTGGCCAGCCAGAGATGCTCACATCCCACTAATGAATAGGAAAACAAAAATTACAAGGAACAGGGGTCCGGCACTAATCCCTGAGGAACAGCACAGTCATTGATATCCAGTCAGTAAAACACCCTTCCACCACTACTTCTGTCTTCTGTGACTAAGCCAGTTCTGTATCCATACAGTAAAAGATTTGATTGTAGACAAGCATTTAATGAAATATTGCATGGTCAACAACAGATTTGTTTAAGACACAAACACCCAACTGGTTTGTTGAATTAATCATGGCAAACAGAAAAGTTAAAGATTACATTAGATAAAAGAAAATAGCTTATAAGGATACCAGGAAAATGCTAACCTGAGGATTGGGAGCAATTTATAATCCAGCAAAGGATGATCAAGAAATTAATAAACAGATGGAAAAGAGTAAATGAACACAGGTTAATGAGAAACATAAAGATGGAAGGTAAAGGCTACTTTGAGGTATAATGGAGGTGAGAGATTAGCTAGGATGAATAGGGCCCATCACAGGTAGAAACAGATTAATCTATAGTGGCAAACAGGAAAATGGTGGAGAAGCTAAATCTCAAGGATTTTTTTGTGAGTCACATTGGGTACTGTGATTCTTGCCACAAGACTTAACAGGCTTTCTTGTCATATCTTTAATCGACATACGAGCCCCTGTGTGAGGATCAGGACCGATTTTCACCCTACCTTAAAATGGGCCATCCCTGGAGCAGCTCACGGTGACCCAGAAGTGACTGGTATCCTTGGTGCCAGCACCGTATTTAAAAGACTGTTGTACACCCAGGCAAACTTCATCAGTCTGGAGCTGCACTACATGGGGTTCCTGACAATTACACCTGACATGGCAGATGGGGAAATCAGCACCCTCCTTTGTGGGCACAGATCCTGCTGGACTGGTTGGCACACATACAAAACTTTCTCCACTGCCAGGTCTAGCAGTGTAAGCCACAACACCATGCCATACCAGCTTTGTTCTATGCTGCCTGTCAGGTTAGAACAGGCTCAGCTATTAAGAGGAATTCTCAGCACTTTAAGAACCTCAATGCCCCTTCCACTCTGCCAGCATAAGAGCCACCATCTTCTCTCCAATACCTCGCACTCACTCTGCCTTTGTTGTTGGTCCCACCTCCCACAGAAGTTCAAGCTCCACTACTCTCACTATTACCTGTAACATCTTTCCCACTCACTCTCATCCACACCAGCCCCTGACACCACTAACAGTAATAGTTCTGTCACACACTTTCATCTCCCACATTACCTGATTCTCTCATTAGAAGAACAACACAACCCATGATGGGTGTTGTGTTACTGTCCCTTGACTCCTCACCCCTTGTGAGGAAAGAATTCCAACTTTGACCACCTGGAGCAGGCTCTGAATAGGTAATGAGCACTGCCCTTGATTTACTGCGTCAGATCCCATTAGCAAATGACATCCGCCTTGATTCAACTGAGACTTGTTGATACAGTGGAAAGCTACCAGGCTTTGAGTCTGCTCTAAATGGCATAGGTAAGGCAGTATTAACATTTGCGTAGTATCTCAGGCTGAGGGCAAATGTGCAAAAGTGCAAGGTAATGCAGTGCAGGGATTCTGTGAACACCCAGGTAGACTTAGAGTGAGAGAGCATTATGATAGTGAATAAAGAACCTGGAGATACAGCCAGGTTCAGTTCATGAGCTGGATGTACGTTCCTGAGCTCAAAGTGTCCTTGTTGCAGTTTTACAATGTTAGTTGTCAATTACAGCCAGAGTTGCATTAGTGAAATGCAGAAAAGTCCTGTAAGTGAATCAGAGATCAGAGATCATAGATCATAGAAACCCTAAATTATGGAAACAGGCCCTTCAGCGCAACAAGTCCACACTGACCTGGCAATTTAGCATGGCCAATCCACCTAGCCTACACATGAGGGTACACATGGCACACATGGATGTGCCATGAGGGTACATAGAGGCTGGTACCATATCTGATGCCAATGTCTGTTGGTATGGGGTGCATGTGGCCAGTGCCCATAGAGCATGCCCAATGGTGCTTGATGATCAATGTCAAGAGCAAGTAGCAAATTGAACCCACTATTGTTTCCATGTTGCATTTTCCTGGTGGCTAGTTTGTATAGCAAGTTTTGTAAAGTGGAATTTGGCTGTTAACAAGTGTCAATTATGAACTCACCACTGCCTGGTGAGAATCTCCTCACACTACTTGAGAAAAGCAACAAGATGCAGCGAGATGATATCGACGTCAAGATGGGCCTTACTGAAGATTTCAGCCAATTCTGCCATTCATCTCACCATATCCCAGACTGTTCACAGCTTACTAAGACACTGGCACTTGTCTCTGTCTTCACAGAAGGAGATGCAGAGAATTTCCCAGAAATGTTAGGCAACCAAGGTGTTGTGAAACTGAGGAGCAATTAGAGGATTTGTACTTAAAAGTATTATTGGACTGAATGTTGATAAATTCCCTGGAAAATTCAGTTGCAACTCAGAATGTTGAAGGAGGTGGCTGTAACGGGATCCAGGACAAGGGGTTACATCAAGTCCCAATAACAATAGAGTGTAGCCTTAGGGGACCCACTGGGCTCAGGTCAGAGGCCCAGACTAGGAGCAGAAATTGGAGCCATGATTTCTGTCGGTGTCTCAGGGTTATAGAGATCATGGATGCATTGGTCGTCTGAAATTAGAATTATATAATCTTTACCAACAGAAGAACATCAAGTCTGTCAAATTTCATTCAGTGGATTTACCAAAGCCTGTCCACTTTCTTAGCATATTTCTTCACCTTTACGTCTCAATCCTGCTGCCTACCTTTCTTTAGTAAGTACAGAGGCATTGTGACAGTAACTGTCTTTCAGATTTGTTTGATTGCAAACAATTGCAAAAGTGAAACAGAACATAAGCTACATAGTGGGATACAGAGTACTGGTGCTAGACACAGTGGTACTAAATGATGTGAACCAGAAGACCTGAGATGTCATCCTGTAATTATCGTTAATACTTTGCTTTCAGCTGGGGCAGTCTCAATATACCTGGATAGCTAAGGGAGAAAAGATTAAGGTTCCTGCTAGCAACCATTGAGTGATCCTTTCTAGAAACTGTGTTATGTACATCTTAGATGAACACAACAGTGACTGCAACTTTGACATTTTCACTGTCAAATAGCCTTCTCACTCTCTGCGTTCAGGTGTGAAGAAAAGCACTCAGCTTAGACAGTCAGTGATGGCAATACCTAGACTATTATACTCCACTGTCGCTAGGCATTTTAGGAAGAAAGGAGAGTCAACCGGATAATTTCCAAATCACGTGGTGAGGAAATGCGAATGAACAGAAGTCATGCTTTATTAGTACAATTATTACAAAATAATTCAAAAACAAAACTGCTTTTGTTTTCCAGACTAAGACTGGTATAGCACGTCTTTTTGATGAGGAGTTTGAGAATGCCTATGACATCCGATTAAAGCTATCAAAAGACGTTATAACAATTCAAAAGCAGGATGTCGTTTGTGTCAGTGGAAGTGATTCTGATTCAAATGTAAGTAATTTATTTCAAAGCAAGATGTTTTGAATCTACGCGTCTCAAATAGACTAAATATGGGGGAAGGACTGATTTGATTGTTTAAGTGACAATCCTTCCCCTCTGCGATCTGGGTTTAAAACCATCCCGGACTTTCTCCTAAAATTTGCCTGTCTCTACCTGCTGCCTATAAGGACATGTATGAAAGAGCTTGAACAATGTTAATTCAGTTCTGGTGAACATAGAATAATGTTAATGAGCACTAAAATTCAATCCTACCAGGAGGAGACGAATAATAAATGGAGGAAAGAAACTTAAAGCTTCAAAATGGCAAAATAGATGCTATATTTATTTTCTGAGGTTCAGGGCAGAGCAGTGAGAGATTTGCTGCATAAGTGGCCAGCTGGACCTGACCTTGGGGTTCTACATGCTGATAATGGTTGCCTGAAATTTAACAAAATCAGCTCTCCCCCAATATCATCCCTCACTTGACTGTAATATTCATTCAAAAGGAATCATTGTTCATGGCCTGAAGAATTCTCTGCTTTCAGAATGCATATGTTCTGGACATTTCTCCATCTGTTTTTCTTAGTCTTAACAAAATTATCATGAAAAATGAAAAATTCAGATCCAGATTACAAGAATCAAGTTGGATAAGTGTGTCTAGAGATCATAAACCCGATTAATATGGAAAATGAACAATTCAAGTTGAAATCGATGAGTTATAAGTTGACATCTGGGACAGATATTCGCAATTCATTATAAGTAACAAAATTGTACACACAATTATGCAGGGTTTGTTGAGAATTTCACCACTAGTGGTGAACAAATGAAGCCTCTCCTACTTGAAGCTAATTTAAAGAGAGTAAATTACCTTGCATCATTTTCTTTTGTAAGAAAACGATTGGTGATGGTTCGTCTTACTCTGTCAAATGTATTGGTTAAATCATAATTAGTAAAATGTTTGATTCCTGACTAATAATATGCAAAGTTGATTGTCACTTGGACCAGTTGATCATCAAACAGTTGGCAACTTTGGTCAGTACCTGTTGTGATCTGCTCTGGAATTTGACCTCAAACAGAAACACTGGCCATGCCTGAATTGTACCCTCTTGTTAATCAATGTCTTCTTGCTTGAAGGGTAGTAGAGAGTGTGACTTGGAATTATTTGTTTTAAATCATGTTCAGCAGCTCCCACAACATCCTCTGTTGCTGTTAATAGTGACAGTTAATTACCTGTAGGAAAAGATTAGTGTGCTTGTCATGTAATGGCAAAATTAATAACTGCAAAAGGAAAGAGAAGAGAATATTCACCTTTGATTAGGTAGATTAATTAAGCAAATTGGAATCTATCTCTCGACCATAGGACTGAGTCTTACCATATTTTGGCAAGTGTCATTTTCATTGAGGTTCATGGAGAGTTTCTCTCCATGAGGTCTGGCAAGTTTTCTCATGGTACTGTCCCAAACTTGACTCATTAACTTGTTACTACACCCCTACGGTGTTCCCCTTGTCCAATGCTAATTCAATTCTCTCACTTGTTGTGACCAGAAGTACTTGCCATTGCGAGATATCCTGGGGTATATCAGCATTCCTAACACCAACACCATCGTGGAACTGTAGTATTCTAGCTTTGTCCATTCAGAGTTGCCCTTCCCCATGCACTTAGTGGCACAGCTGATGTTTGCACATACAACTGCATATTCCTACACCAATCACTGTTTAAGCACCAGGCCCCACAGTCCTTAGCCATACTCCATCTTATAACCCTGTCTAATTACTGCTACTGTTTTTCTAAATGCCCTGCATAGCTCAACATCTCATCATTGTTTAATCAGCTACGTCAAACACTCATTTTTATTTTCAAACACCAAATGTGAACAGAAATCAAACAAACAGAAGAAGCATTTGTCGTGCAGACTACAGAGAAGCTACGTGTTGAGCACCAACAAGTTTAGTTAGTGAAGTACATTTTGCCTAGTTAACATCTACTATATCTGTGTGTCAGTGAAATCCTGTCTGTAGTGCCCAGTAAAGATGCACTCAATCATGCAGAAGGTGATGCTCTCCTTGCTCAATCTCCTCAGATTCCTCCTCAGAAAACTGTTCTCACTCAGCATCCATTTCATCCTCTTGTTACCTGCTCCAGGTCTGAAGAGCATGCCAAGTTAAGATGATGTGACACGCTCAGAATGACTGAGCAATTAAGAGGTTTTGCAAGCAACTCTGAGAGGCACCCTGAGATGTAGCCTCACCCTGTGTGTGAAATGTCCATACAGCAGTATTACAATGGTAGTTGCCACTGCACTTAAAAGTGCAGCATTGAAATGCAGAAGCGTACCGTAATTGGATCAGAGATGTGCTATGATGGTGTGGAGAGGCTGGCACACATCAGATGCCAGTGTCTATGGACTTGGGGTAGGGTACAGGCAGCCACTGCCCATGAAGCGTGCTCCGAAACAGTGTTAGTTTTCAAGAAGGATCTGGAAAAGGAAGCAGTGAGCTGGAGTACCCGTTCTGAAATCTTGGTATCTAGGTTCTATCTGGCCGATGGTAGAATAGGAAAGTGACTATTATTGAGGCACGACTAATATTGCCAGAGTAATAATGAGTGTGATAATGAATATTAATCCTTATTAGTAGACTGCTTGCTGCTCACTAATATGAATCTCATCTTGACATCTGGGTCTTAGTTGAAAAATGCGACTTGTCTGTCCCCATGCTAAGAAAGGCTTCACTTGACATTGTGTATGATTCTCCCAAATTTCTCATCATAGCCCAAGTCATTTGGAGCCTAGGAAGATTCCAGCCTTGTTGAGATTCAGAATCTGCTAGGTTGTTTTAAAGGCAGTATTTATTGTTAAGTTTTTCGTACTCTGTAATTTAGATAGCCAGGCTTAATTAAATGTGGGTCTAACAAAGCTGATTTAGGTCTCATTGAGTAGTGAGGTATGCCAATAGCAGAGAGGATCATGAAATGTATTCTACTGCTGCTGTTGTCTAAGTGAAATGTATTCCAGCAGCCCCCTTTACCTCTGTTGGCTAATTTTAGTCAAAATACAGACATGAAAACAAAACAATATTCTACGTTTTTCATTTGTTTAAAATTATCATGGAAAATACAGCCCCCAGAGGTAAAGGAACAAGACTGTCATGTTACAGCCTGAGGTAATGTCATGTAAGTTTGAAGAAAACCTGGCTGAAATATGGAAGCATTTGTTGCATTTTAAGAAATTGAGATATTCTGAGTCAATCAAACTAACCAAACTATTGTAACTTCATCAATTTTACAACTGGCAGAGGTTTTCCTATTTTATCTTAAAAGAACATAACCGTCAAAATATCTGAACTGTTGTGACTTTTTGTGAAATTTTGACAGCCCGTATGAAAGATGCATGTTCATTCAGTGATTTGGTCAAATATTCTGTGTATTTCCAGCTAACAACAAAAGGCAGGTAATTTAACTTCTGTTTATGGTAAAATCACAGCAGTCTAGACACCCTTGGTTACTAAAAGATTATGAGGCTTGATGAAAACGAATCTTGAAAAGATATGTGGTTAGAGATTTGTGGTCTTAGTGAGTGAATAATTGGCGCATCCATTTGGATTGCTGCTTCAACAGCTCCCTGACTGACCTACTTGTGACCCCCAGACTATTTGCACATGACTGACAGGACTCACTGTGGCTCAATCCCCGAACTGCAGGGACATGGATCCCCACGCCAAGTGCCTGACTGATGGTAGCCGGCCTCTGTATAGTAATCAGACAAGCTCTTTGAGTGCCCGTGGGAGTATCCCCTGACTGACTGCAGTCCCCTTTCACCCCACTAAGAATTCCTCTCCTTTGACTTTATCACTTTGCCATTTCCTTCAACCACCCGCAGTGTGTTTGCTGAATAAACTGCTAGCACATGTTGCAGGTTTGACATTGACATAGCCACAAAGAAACGTTTCCACCCCTATCTGACTGAAAAATGAGCTGTTCAATGCTCCTGTCTCTCGCTCTACATAAAGAAGCATTGCAAGTCATAGAGACTGACAAACTGTAACTTAGCACTTGAGTGTGAAGAAAGTAATGGGAGCAGTAAATCAGTGCTGAAGTCAGTAAGTACGTGCTAAGAAAGCAATGAGAAGTATACAGAGGCTGGCACCCTTCAAGAAAGAGCAATGTAAATGAGCACTAAGAAAACGTGTTTGCAGCCATAAAATGCATCCTTTGTAGATGAATGTGTACTCTTATAAGCAAAAGTCTGAAGAATGCCTGATCTTCAAAGTGAAGTGTTGAAATGCTGAAGCGTTGCATGAACTGGTCAGAGGCCAGGTGTGAGGGTGGTGAGTCTGGTGGTTTCCAGATGCTGAATTATGTGATTGAAGGGTAGAGGACAGTGGTGGCCACAGAGTATGCAGGGACATTGTTCCACAGAAGCAGCTGTATGATGGCTAGGGGGAGCATTCAGCAAGCTGCCGCTGCCCGATACCCACTCAGATTTACATGTTGGGAGTTTGAGCCATCTAGTTTTTTGGGGACTGAAAGGAGAATTGAACGTGGTATGTAAGTAAAGTGCATTGAGCCTTTAATGAGGTGTAAATGCATGGAAGGAAGGTAGTTGTCCCTAAAATGTGAGATTCTCAATTCTCCACTCGTGGCTCAACAGAATATTTGGACCCTGCCAGGATATGACCCTCTTTCCCCCAATCCAGACACAACCCTAACTCTCTTCACCTGCTTTGGATATGAATCGCCTTCACCTACTCCAGAAATGACCCACTGCGATCCAAATCCCCCTTTTCCTACTCGGAGCCTTTCACCCATTGTGGATCTGAACAGACACCCGTCCCATATTGACCCACAATTGATCTGACAACCATCCATTCACCCTGAGGGAGCTCTCCCCTCTGCTTATCCTGCACATCTCCCAAACCCCTTCTGCTGCTCAGGGCCTGATTTCCATTCCTCAACTCCGAACCAGAACTGCCTTCATGCAACTAAGTCCCAGTCCACTGGAGGCTTGGTCTAC